TATAGACAAAAATAACATCTAAGTCAGAAATTTTATAGTACTGTGTTCTCAGAGTGAAATGTTTCTAATATATTAATTGTTTTCTTCCATTGAACATATGTACTATAAATTTTATTAGGTTATATATAAATAGTTTTAATATAACAAATAGCTTAAATAATCTAGAGGGATATGCTTAAGATACAGTTTTCTAATAAAAACTGCCAAAGGTTATTTGCTTATGATGTTTTATGTATTCTGACTTATGTGTATCTTCATTTTTTATTGTGTAATTTTTAAAAGGCTAATTTGAGTAATGTTCAAATATGGACAATTAACTTTATAGTAATCAATGTAGGTTAAAAGATTCAGTGAACCTTGATAAATGATTAGTTTATGATGAATTACCTCAAGTTTTTGACCTTATGTATAAGCAAATCAGCTGATATAACAGCAAATTATCTAAGACATGAATATTTAAAGAATAATTACATTAGAATATTCTTTGGGCCAAGAAGCTCTAAATTATATTTACATAAGAAGAATCTTGTTTGCAGTGGGCAAAGGCAAAAAATGGGGGAGAAACTAGTAGAAGTAGGCTTTTACTTACAGCATTCAAAATTTTTTTTCCCAGTTAAAAGAATAAATTAGGGGAAAATGTTTGCAAACTGTATTAGAAGAATAGACTGCAAAAGTCCTTTAGGAATGACCTAGCTCTTGGTTTCATTATCTATTGGTGGAGACCGTAGCTCCAAGATGTCTGTATACCTCCTGAAATATTATGTAAAATTGTATGCATTTATATATTTGTGCATCTTCACCAGATTCTCAAAAGGAGTCAATAATTCCCCTCATTGGTAAAATATTCAAAATAAAAATTCACTCGCCCAAGTTCTTACATTCATATCTTTTTATTCTCAACCCAATGACTGAAAAGTGCCATTTTCATCATAGACTTTCTAGTTCCTTGCTACAATGCAAGTCCAAGTGAAGCCAACATAGCCCTTTAATTCTAAGAACACAATATTAAAATATCTTAAAATACTCAGAAAATCAAGTTTTTGCTGTATTATTAGAATAAGGTTTGTTTGGATATTTTTTAAAGCAAAAATGTCAGGGAAAAATCCTTCACCATAATTAGTCAATGTGAGATGAAAGCCACAGAAACTTTATATTAATTTTCTTTGTAAATTGATCAGAAAAAAAAACAAATTTGAAAAGCTTGGCTCTCTTGTCTAATTTAATCCATACAACAATGCATCTACTTTCATCTTTTTTTTCTCTCTAAAATCTTAGCATAGAATACACTGTGGATTTTGCCAGCCTC